CCAAGGTGTTCTCATGATCCAGTATTGCAGGGAGGCAGAGAAACTGTGCCAAGCTCCTACTTGAGAGGACCATGTCCCATGGTGCTTCCATGTCTTCGAGGGTGGGAGGAGCTTACCCTGGAATGGTGGACACTTGCAGCTGGGAAGTGACTTTGGGAGAAAGGGAGACCTGCAGCTGTGACCCTATGGGAGTGAAGTTATCTCGCTCATACACCGCGGGGCCAGTGCTCTCTGCTGCCAAAAAATAATGGAAATGGACCTCTGGGGTCTTCCAGATTTCTCTCTCCTCTGCAGTCTTTTTATATTTCTATTAATAATTTACTGAGTTTATTTTATGAATAGCTACTTAATTTTTAAAAATGTCTTTCTAACATCTATCAATACTGACATATAATTTTTCTATTAAGTATATTGAGGTGATTTAGTAAAAGAATGTTTTTTTAAAATTGAATTGTCCTTCCATTTCTAAAATAAACCCTCTTGGTAATGCATCATTTTACATAGTGCTGGATTCTAATTGCTAATGATTTATTAGAAATGTATATTCATATTCCTATATATGCTCCTTACAGTTTGTGGGTTTAAATTATGATGATTCTATAAAATGAGATGTGGACATATTTTATATATCCTGTAAGAGTTTAAATAACACTGGAATTATTTGTTCTTTAAATTGAGTTAAAATTTAGCTGTGAGCCCCAAAAAGTTCAACTGCTTTATCAAACCCTTATTTTCAAGTTTTCCATTTTTCTTGGTCAATTTTAGTAATATGCATTTTGATAAAAATCTATGAAAATTTAAACATACTACAATATGGTTGCATGTAATATTCTATTTTCATTATTTTAATGTTAACTCTGTATCCACACTAATCCATTATTAGTTTTTGTCTTTTTAAAAATGTAGACACTTGTAATATACTTTTATCTTTGGAGATTAAATACTTAATAACATTTATTAGTATTGGTCCTTTTTAACATTAAATTCTGCTGTTGATTTATAAACTTTTATTTTGAAAATTGGAGTATTTCTTTGGATTAGAGGACTTTTCTTTGCTACTTATTTGGTTATTAGTTATTCTGTCTGCTTCAGTCTTTACTTCGGAAACTGTATTTTGAGTATTTGGACTCTTCTTCCCTATATCAACTCTAACAGTGCCTCTGCCTAATTTACCCCTTTGGCCATTCCGTGAGTTGATCTCTTATATCTTAATATGGTTTTTTCAGGACCAAAGCCCCTGCAATCACGGGACGTTCAATTGTACTGTAATGCTTTTCAAATCTAAGAATTATGTCCTCACATTACTGCCTTTTCCTAAAACCTGATTTATTTTCATTTCCCCAAGAGTACAACAAACAACATTTTAAATAATGTCTTTAATTTCATAGAATAAAGATTTTTACAGAGATAAATGTGTAAACCAAATATAAATTTCTAAGGTTCCTTAACCATCTGAATGGACCCCTTCTCTCAGCCAAAGGCATTCCAAAGTTAACATAAAAGACTAGTTCTGGCTGTGATGGGAAAGGGGGTCACACATGATTCATTACACCCTCTGGCATTAACATCAGAATAGATCTTAAGTCTGATAAGAAACATTTGCAACCTATTCTCCCTGAAACCTGCTACCTGAGGTCTCCATCTGCATGAAGAAACTGTGATCTCCACAACCCTTATAATTGCAACCCAGATGTTCCTTTCTATTGATGCCAGGTCTTTAGATAATAACTCTTTGAACCAATTGTCAATCAGGAAATTGTAAAATCTACCTATAACCGGAAGCTCTCACTTTGTGTAGTCCTGCCTTTGCAGATCAAACTAATGTATGTCTTACAGGTATTGTTTAATGTCTCCAATCTCCCTAAAATGCGTAAAACCAAGCTGCACCCCAACCACCCGGGGCACATGTCGTTAGGACCTCCCAAGGCTGTGTCACAGCATAGCCTTAAACTCGGTATATACTTTCTAAATTGATCGAGACCTTTTGGCTTTACAGATGCTAATCTTTGGAGTCGTTAAATTATTTTATATCCCGTCATCTACTGATGTCAATTCAGAGGCAGGTGTACTTCACCTAGTGCTAGAAATTGAGAAATATTCTATTAGATTATGTAAGCCAATACTCACAGTCTGTAGTGAGCTTAGCCAGTGTGTTAGCAGATACACTTACCCTGTAGTCCCGACACCACAGGTGGGATAACAGCTCAACAGGCCAGTCTTTTTTTATTTTTTCATTTATGATTGACACATATGTTATCCCAAATAGCAGACAGAGAGGGAGGTTCTCTAAAAGAAAATGAAGTATTTTGGGAATGGGCATTACAATGGTAACACAGGTGCCATAGCAAACTCTGCATATTTGGAGGGTAAAGGAAGACAATGACATTTAAAGGAAAACTGAGGAGAACTATATAATTGTTTTGAGATAATGATCCTTGGCTACAAAGATCAGTAACAATGACATTGCCAGCCACATTGGACAGAAGTTGCTCTGCCAAAATCTTTGTCCTTGCAGAAGTATTTTTCATGTAAGGTTTTTATGGGCTTTGTGTGAGGCTGCAGTTTCTGCAGAGTCTTTTGTGATAGTTCTTGTTATCAGGCATTCATACATGAGAACCCTTTCTCCATGGCCTTCCTAGACTTTTTTTTTTTTTTTTTTTTTAACTCAAGTGATGCCATTTTAATTCTGACAACTTTTGCATGGAACGATTGTACATATCTTTGGAGTGCTACCTGATATTTCCATATATGCAAACATTGTGTAGTGATCAGATAAGAGTAATTAAGTAGTATATCCATCATCTTAAATATTCATTATTTCCTTTTGATAGGAATATTCAGAAACCTCTCTTCTAGCTATTTTGAAATACAATATTCATTATTGTTAACTCTAGCTACCCTACCCTGCAACAGAACAGCAGAATGCATTCCTCTTGTCTCACGGTAGCTCTGCACCTGTGGCTCAGTCTCTCCCCAACCCCCTACTTGCCCTCAGTCTCTGGTAACCACTGTTCTAATGTCTACCTCTATAAAAGCAAACTGTTAGATTCCAAGTCTGAGCAAGATCACGTGGTGTTTGTCTTTCTGTGCCTGATTTATTTCACTTAAAACAATGTCCTGCAGGTTCATCTATGTTGTTGCACATAACAGGATCTCTTTCTCTTTTAGGGCTGAATAATATTCCTCTGTGTGTGTGTGTGTGTGTGTGTGTGTGTGTGTGTGTGTGTGTATACACCACATTTTCTGTATCTGTTCATCTGTTGATAGACGCTGAGGTTGATTTTGTATGTTGGCTATTGGGAACTGTGCTGCAGTAAACATAGAAGTGCAGCTCTCTCTTTGACATACTGATTTTATTTCCTTTGGATAAATATCCAGCAGTAGGACTGGTGGATCATATGGTAGTTCTCTTTTTTCCCCATTTTCACTCAGCATAGTACTGGAAGTCCTAGACAAGGCAATCAGGCAAGACAAATAAATAAAAGGCATCCAAATTGGAAAGGAGGAAGTCAAATTGTCCCCGTTTGCAGACAACATGATCTTACATATAGAAAGCCCTAAGGACTCCACCAAAAGTCTGTTTAAACTAATAAACAAATGTAGTAAAGTTGGGGGATACAAAGTTAACACACAGAAACTAGTAGCATGCCTATATGCCACTAGAAAACTATCTGAATAAATAAGTAAACAAAGCAATTCCATTTACAATAGCTACAAAAAATAAAATATCTAGGAATAAATTTAACCAACAAATATCTTTGAAATAAAAACTGTAAAACACTAATGAAAGGTATTGAAGAAGACACAAGAAAATATAGCCCATGTTCACAGACTGGAAGAATTAATATTGTTAAATGTCCATACTACTCAAAGAGATCTACAGATTCAATAAAATCTATATTAAAGTCTCATGACATTCTTGACTGAAATAGAGAAATAATCATGAAATTCACATGGAACCACAAAAAATCCTAAATGTCAAAAGCAATCTTGAGCAAAAAGAACACAGTGCAGGCCTCATACTACCTGACTTCAAAACATACTACCAAGCTGTAATGAGCAAAACAGCATGGTGCTGGCATAAACACAGATACATAGATCAATGAAACAGAATAGAAATCCCAGAAATTAATTCACACAATCACAGACAAAGTAGTTTGACAAAGGTCCCAAGACCACTCAATAGGGAAAGGCAGCCTCTTTGCGCCATTCTCTGTGGAGCTCCACCTTCACACCTGACTCTTACTTTCCATGCCATTTTTCACTAAATGTTTCCAATTATTAGATAAGGGGGTACAGGGCTTTTATCCATGATGTGGAATTTTTCCCTATTACAGTTGTTGTTCCTGCTGTTGCTGTTTTCATTTCACTGGAAAATTGTGCAAATAGCCACTGTCCTGGCTCTGGATGCCTGGTAATGCCAAGGGCCTCCTGTGTAACCATTGCAGTCATTCCCCACAGGGAGTAGAACCCTACAACACAGGCCACACAGTTTCAGATCTTTCAAAGACCTTTTGAAACGATGCAAGCAGTCATTATATGTAATTATATGTCTTTTGAAATGGGGCAATCAGCCATTATATGTCTGTTTTACTGAAAATAAAACTGAGGTCACAATCTAAATTTACAGATTCTTTCTCATTCGAAGTCATTTTGTCGCTAAATTTATTTTCAAAATTTTGGGTGAGAATGGCCTGACTCGTGGTTCTCCGGCCTCATGACTGTGGACATTTTACAACACTCCTCCTATCTCCCCAGAGCCTCAGTGAGAGCCGGGGAAGGTGGGTCCAGCCCCCACCATCTTCCTCCAGGTACATCTGCGGGCATCAGTCTGGAAGTCGGGAGGGACTTGAAGTGCTAAGTCTAAAAAGGGGAGTTTTTAACTATCTTGCTGTCTATTTTGAAATTAAAGTATAAAATGCAAAGAAAAGAACAACTGTTAATCTTTTACGCGTCCGAATCAATGATGAAATAGTGAGATTTAAAGTGAGTGAGGTTACCGTCACCATGGTGAGACTTCGACTTTAATGGAAGAGCCGAGTTGCCGGAAGGCACGGGTCATCTTTAAGAGGAGTCACAATCTGACGAATCTTTTTCTGTGTGAATGTCAGCGTTTCCTAGACAGGAACTTACAGGCCGTCGCAGCGCAGTGTCGTCAGCAGTAACAGCAGGACGGTAGCCGGGTGAGGCCTCGGGCTCCTCAGGGCGCGCTCTGCACCGCGGGCTCCGGCTTGCACGTGTAACCTCGTAGGCTCGGACAGCCAGACACCGGGGTGTGTACCCGGCAGAGCGCACGGTGAGCGCTCAGAAATATGCATCCTTCACCGTGCGGCTGACCAGCTCCCTTCCGGTATCAGCCCCCTCGCCCGCCAGTGACACAGGGACCCCCAGGCGCAGGTTCCACAGCAGGGCCTCGTTCCCCGCCTCTGGCGGGAGCCCCCGCTCCACCTGGCCGAGGGAACCTCCTTTGCTTGGTGGGTGTGGGTGCTTGAACCCTCCCCACTTTTGCACAGGAATTAGGCAGACGTCTTCTCCCAGGTAACAAGCCTCGGACTTCAGTTCCACGTAAACCCGGGCGCCGTGGCCAGCCTAGCTTTGTCCGACCCTGGCTTCAGCAGCAGAGGAAGCAAATGAGGTAAGTATCCTTTGTGAACTAGGTGCATGTTCCTATTAGACTGAGCAAAAGATGCCATTTGCTGAACACCGTTGGAACAATAAACGGCTGAAAGCGTGTAAAGTGAGAGGTAGTGAGAGGTGAACGTGGAGCTCTCTGGCCGGCCCTCTCATGGGAGAAGGAACGGGGAGGGGAGAACAGGGGCCCTGGATGGGGAAGGGGCCCAGGCCCAGCCAGGCTGTCTGTCTCCCCCCACGCCCCTCCAATCCTCCAGCCCAATCCTGAGTCCCCTGTGCACCCTACTCGTGAACAGCACGCAGGATTCACACACGGCATCTGGGCGGTCCTTGCCTTTGCTGTCCCTCAGGCCCTCTTCTTATCCTGGGGACCCAGATCAAGTCCAGGCAGCCCGATCACCCCAGGCAGTCGCCGTCTGGATGAGAAGGTGCAGCTCTCAAGCTTCTGAAGCTGTCAAGAAACATCTTAAAGAAGGACCAACTTCTTCAACAGGCACAGACAAGACCTTTGGATTTAGAGAGTGTTTGCCCCAAATGGTTGTCTCAGACCTCCCGGGAGTCCTCTGACTCCTTTCAGAGGAGACCTCTGTGGCCCCTGATGAGTCGGGGGCTGCGACATTTCCTCATGCAGGCCACCGGCCTGGGGCTCCTTCATCCTTAGTCACACTCCTCACATGTGCTCTTCGGTGCTTTTCTTATTATTTTTATTGCACACGTTGGTACAAATTGTGATCTTAATAAAATATATATAATCCAAGTTGGGAAAGGGAACTGCCATGTAGACCATAAAGGGAATTAATTATGCCAGGGAATTAAGGTACAGACCATTTTCTTCTGAATATTAAAAGAACGTATTTTCAAAACTTCAGTCAGTTCTTTCTTCCGTGGTAGCTGAAAGTCAATAGTGTCGTTAAGTTAGCTGCACTTTCATATTTATTGAGAAACCGACCAAAAGGGCCAGCATCTGTTGGGTTGCCCTGCTGGGTCGTTCTCCAGCCGGGCCTCCTGAGCTAACATTTGGCATCTGCAGGGGGCATCTGGGCAGGTGTCCTAGACAGAGGCTGGTCGGGAACTGGCCAGAAGCCAGCCCTGCCGCGTGTTTACCCCTAGAGTTGCCTGTCACACACAGGGATGTGCTTCGGAGACCTTTTAGCAGGACAGGCCTGGGCTTTGTCCTGACAAGTTTATCACTGGTTTTTAAGCCTGAGCCAACAGAGGTGTTCATTATGGGGTTCAGTACATTGTTTCTGAAGGGCGGTAATTCTAAATTAGATAAAAGAAAACTGTTTTTCTAATGCATCGATTATTTTTAAAAATAAAGCAAAAGTATTTCACATGGCAAATGATTCCTAATCAATGATTATGAGTGATCTTACATCTTTAGCTTTGTTGTTTGGAACTTTTGTCTTTGGTGGCTGGCCCCATTCCAGATGTGAGGGTGATATTTGTGCAGAGAGAAAGAGGATGTGTCTGGTATCTGACAGTTCTCACAGAGTTAACTGTAAATTAAATGAGGATGTCTACCTGCAGAGGGGTGGGGCTTTTTTTTGAGACAGGGTCTAAATCTGTCACTCAGGCTGGAGTGCAGTGATAAAATCACAGCTCACTGCAGCCTCCAACTCCTAGGCTCAAGTTTGCCTCAGCCTCCCGAGTAGCTTAGAGTACAGGCTGGCACCACCATGCTTGGCTAATTTTTAAATTTTATTTTGTAGAGATGGGATCTCACTTTGCTGCCCAGGATGGTCTTGAACTCCTAGGCTCAAGCAATCTTCCCTCTTCGGCCTCCCAAAGTGCTAGGATTACAGGTGTAAGCCACCATGCCTGGCCTGTACTTGAACCATTAAGTAAAATTGTTTTTGTCAGACTCTGAATAATACACACCCTCATTTTCCCATTGGAAAAATCTCTCTCAAAACATGCCATTTAGGTGAGATATTCAATCAGAGCCCCCCTCTATCCTAGGGCACGCAAGCAAAGTAAACCAATCAATCCCTCCCCTTGAATTTAAATTCTTGCCGAATGGGGCAAGTTGGGATTAATCGAGAATGGAGCCAACCGTGAGCCCGTCACGAACCTCTTGTCATCTCAATCAACCTTGTTATCTTAATCACGTGAGTTTACCTGGAAATATCCTGAAGTCAGCTGGCTAAACTGTTCTTAATTCTGTTAAGTATTAAATATGTTTCCAACAAAGCCAGGCTTTCTCTAATTATCCAGCCAATGATCAAAGTGGTGTAATAATAGAGGAAACTTTATTTTACAGAAGAGTGCATAACAGCACTATTACTTACCTTGCATTGAGGCAGGAAGGACGCTTCAAGCATGAAAAGAAGCATGAAGTTTCTCATCTTAGTGTTGAAAAGGGTCTTATGTAGTTGAAGGTTTTGTCTTCCTACAGCCAGCATTGATTTAGGATTCACATTCAACTTACCTTCCAGTGCCTGCAGAATGTGGTGTTAGGATTTTTCCTTTTGCTTCTTTGTAGGTGAACTATTTCTTCCAAGTGGAATGCATGATCTTAGGCCATGACTTTGTTTCTGTGCTCTCCGTTCTATTTGAAATGCCCGGAAGAGTGCATGGGAGACACTCAATGGATATAACTGAACAAATGTGAGAAAAAAAAAATGTTCTCTACTGTCTTTTCTATTTGCATTTGAAAAGCAATTACAACATTCTTGATCATTCTTAATGTAGTGACCCAAATTCTGCCCTTCGTGCCCCCAACATTGTACTGAGAGCAACAAGAAATAACCAGATGAGTAAAGACCGTGTCAGAAGTTGGGGTCAGGGGATGAGGAACCTGCCAGAGCTTTCCAGATTTATAATCTCTTGGCTCCCATGAGCTAAGAGATGCAATTTCCTCTCAGATTTTCTATATAGCTCCTAATTTTTTCAAGTAGGTCAGAATTTTACCCTAGCAGAGAGTGGGGGAGAACTCTCGATGTGTTCTCTACTCATGAAAATAAAACTGTGAGTTTCAGTACAAACACCTCTATTATACTGACGTGTAGGAGCCATCTCTTTTCCAATGCCATAATTTTAATGCCATGCAAAAAGCACATTTTAAGATGACGTAACTGGAATGAAAAAACAACAAAAACATGAAATAATAAAACCATAAAATATAGCAGAACAAGATCACGGGAAAGAAGCAAAAATACACGGTCCTATTGAGCTCCAGATTCATGTCGGAGCTCAGAGAAGCCCAGCAGAAGCGGTTCCTGGGAACGGAGAGTCAAGTGTGGCACATGTGAGAGCAGCTGTCACTGCCATGTGGCTCCCAAGACCAGGCTGGGCTAAGCCTTTACAGCTCTCTCTGGAGCCTTCTGCTCAGGCAGCCCCCTCTGGAGGGAAGCCTGGAGAGGAGAAGGAGGACATGACTTGCTAAGTCCAGGAGGACAACCACAGTCCCTGCTGGCCAGTCCCTGCCCCTGCGATCACCAGTGTTCCCAACGGGGCTGAGAACCATCAGTGGAAGGGTGGGCTCTGGAGCTCACACCATCCTGGGCGCTGGAGCAATGGCAGAATTGTGGGGATGAAAGAGGCAATGTGAGAAGGACAGTGATGCCTCCTCTCAAATTAAGCCTCGAGATCATATTCGTGAAGAACTCTAAGCTAAGGACACAAAATCAACGGGTTTATGCTGGAGTCATTCTAGATGCAATTAAAATAGCAGAATAATAAATACTCAAAAAGGCAAATAAATAGCATCCACATAATTGAACAAGAAATTTTGAGACAACTGGTATGAATAAACCAAGAACAAGTATATGTGTAAAAAATTAGAAATTTTAAAAATAAAAATTGTAGTCATTGGATAAAGCAATAAAACAAATGATAAATTAGATGTAGCCCTAAATTAGATATATTTCCATGGATCTATTCCATATTCCAGTGTGGCAACCAAAAACCAGATGTGGTTATTCGAATTTGTATTAAGTATAAATAAATTAAATTAAAAGTTTATTTTCTCTGTTGCACTAGGCAGATTTCAAACGCATAATAACTCTGTGGCTTGTAACTGGGGTGCTGCATAGTGTGTGATAGAAGACTTCACTCATTGCAGACAGGCTACTGAATGGTGCTGTTCTGGATGATTCCCAAGTGAATGAACAAAACACACACACACACACACAATTTTCATCCTATAGTAGCTATTTTAGAGAGCAGAGAATGTGTAAGGTTGCTTAATTCATTTTATTTTATTCTCTGTGTAGGAAACTGACAAGGCCCATGTAAAGAAAAAGAAATAGTAGGCTTATATATTTTTTTGAAGTGCAAAGAACCTAAAGAAAATGATGCAAATATAATTTAGCAGCATAATTACATATTACAGGAATTCATGCTTTCAACCAACTTTAGAAAAACTAAGAATGACATTTCTTATATAAATGAATTAAAGAGAAAACTATATATCCATCTTTATAGTTGTAGAAAAATACAATTTTTTAAAATAATTTTTGTATAAGCTTTACCACCTAACACCAACAATAAACACATAGAAGATATAACTATACATGATATAATTAAATATATGGTGTGTGGATATGTATGTAGCTTTAACATTTATATGTTATCTAAGCTATATATAAATATATACTCAAACATTCAAGAAATATAGATTAACAGATATCTGTTAGATATAGATATCAAAAATCTCAAGATGTTACAGAAAAATCTATAAACATCATGAAAAGATATAAAACTCTGATTAAATACCAATATATGTTAATAGATGAGAATCCTTAAAGTACACAAATTTTAAATGGCCCAATATTCCGCATTTTGATATCTGCTTTACAGAGAAACACACCCTCAGATAAATTCTTGATGCATGCATAGAATGTACATAATAGCATTCATTGTAATAGCGCAAAGTGGAGATTTTGTTCAAAAGATACAAACTTTAGTTAGACAGGAGGAAAATGTTCAGGAGAGGCACTGGGCAACATGAAACATGCAGTTAATAGCAATGTATTGAATACTTGAACATTGCTAAGAGTAGATTTTAAATGTTTTCACCACAACAAATGATAAGTATGTGAGGTAATCGATAAGTTAATTAACTAGATTAAATCATTCCACAATATATACATTTATTAAAACATCATGTTGCATATCATAAATATATACATTTTTATTTGTCAATTAATAAATAAATTTAAATGACAAATGCAAAACAAAACCAAAACAAATGGAGACTTTTTCACTTGGGAAGAAGTGACGTCAGTAAGATGGCTAGCCAGACCCAGAGCTGGCCAGCCCACCGTGTGCATGCGTGTGCCCCTGACCTGAGACACAGCCTGGTGAGCCCAGCCCCAGCACGGCCTAATCACCACTGAAAGAGACTCTTAGGCTTGGCCAGTAAGACACTCACAAACATCACTAACATGGATTATAGGTGAAGAAATTACACAGAGGCTACACAGCAGCATCTACCTAAAACCAAGTACAAACTTACACCACAACACCCATCTTACTTCCACCAAACTTACACCACAACACCCATCTATATGAGAAGGTCTTTCCTTAGAGGTAACTGTTTCACTGATTGCATAGACATCAAATAGGAACACATCAAACATGAAAAAGTGAGGGGCACAAACATTTTCCAATAACAGACCCGAATCATAAGAAAATATAGGTGTACAAAGTGCCAGAAAAATAATTCAAAGTAATAATCTTAAGAAAATTCAGGGAGGTATGAAAGAATACAGATAGACAGTTCAATACTATCAGGAAAACAATGTATAATCTGAATGAAAAATTCAACAGAGATGGCTATCATAAAAGAAAAACAAACCGAAATCTTAGAGCTGAAGTACTCAATCAATGAAATTAAAAAATGCAATGGAGAGACTGGACGCGGTGGTTCATGCCTGTAATCCCAGCACTTTGGGAGGCCGAGGCGGGCAGATCACAAGGTCAGGGTATCGAGACCATCCTGGCTAACAAGGTGAAACCCTGTCTCTACTAAAAATACAAAAAACTAGCCGGGTGAGGTGGTGGCGCCTGTAGTCCCAGCTACTCAGGAGGCTGAGGCAGGAGAATGGCGTGAACCCATGAGGAGGAGCTTGCAGTGAGCCGGGATCCAGCCACTGCACTCCAGCCTGGGCAACAGAGCAAGACTCCGTCTCAAAAAAAGAAAGAGAGCTTCAACAACAGACTAGAACACAGAGAGCCGAGCCCCACAGTGTCCGTCCTCACAGACAGCTGAGCCCCAGAGTTTCTGTCCCCCCAGAGAGCAGAACCCCACAGTGTCCATCCCTCAAAGGGTCCCATAGTGTCCATCCCCACAGACAGCAGAGCCCCACTGGGCCCATCTCTATGGAAACACGG